AAAAAAGTTTCAAAAATCCAATAGATTTCGTTCCACTTCACAATTGTGTCCCACTTGTTGGTGATTCTTCACATAAAATAAAAAATTTATATCTTTATTTTTGAAGCCTGAAATGTGGCAAAAGGTTGAAAAGTTCAAGGGGGCCGAATACTTTCGCAAGGCACTGTATATGCCTTGCAATGGACTGGTGTCCTATCAAGGTTGTCCTGAGTCTTGTGGCCCTTGCATGCTGGGATAGGCTCTGGCTCCCCTGCAAACCTGAATTGGATAAACTGGTTAGAAAATGGATGGATGGAATCCATGACCCCAGGTAAAAGGTATGTGCAACACAGACATGATAAATCAACCGGAATCACTTCACTTGATGAAGTTTACCAGGGAATTCAAAATTCTGAAGCAGACTGAGAAAATCAAAGTAAACCTTCATTTTTTAACTCCAACACACAGATGGAGCTGGAACCTCCAGGGAACACTAACAATTTTGTTAGTTGTGAGATCAAAGTGGATCATTGGGAGTTGATAGTTCCAGTTTTTAAAGTGGTTCAACAGAATTCACATCAAATCAGTTATCAGGAGCAGAATGGTCTGTCCTGGAAATGAACTGCAGTGATTTCTGGTAAGAGAAAAGTTGGTTTTTCATTACTCAAGGAGTTGCAAGACCATAGAACACACTATCAAGTCAAAGAGTTGAAAGAATAGACTCTAAAGGAAATATGCTATAGAGGCCTACTTCTATATTGATATAAATAGAAGAATATAGGTGAGTTTTTTTATTATGCTTCCATGGTTTTGTTCTTTGTTCTTATACTGATTTACCTTACTTTACCAGCACTTTTCTATGTTTTTATAGTGTCTTCACATTTATTAAACTTGACTACAGATTTTACATTACCAGCTCTAAAGGATTGAGTAACGCAACTTTTATCACAGGGTAGGTATGTTCACAAGCTTTCAGCAGATTCCTATGATACCACACAGCCTTGTTAGCACCCCTCACACACCCAAATGATTTTCATCCTTGTCTGCATATTCTGTAATTAACCACATACAGTATATCAATACACACCCAGCTGCGCAGACTACAAGTTATCAAATTGTCGCAACACACAGAGGCCTACTGTCATTCCAATAAATAGCATTTTGCATAATGTTCCCACATATTTTTGCCTGTACTTTATACAGCAGTTGCTTGCGACAGAGGTTTAGTTTAATCTTTTAGTTTTTCAGGGAAGCTAAGCAGAATTAAAACATTCAGTGTCTCTCAACACCTGGAATAAGACATAACAACACGGACAACCAGTTCTAAAACATACCTGTACAACAGTAATCTTAAGTAATAAAACAGTGATCTTCTTGAAATGGTACCGCCTGGCTAACTGTTAGATGTCCTTGTGCCTTGTGATAGTGAAGTTAGTGGAGATGACAGAGTGACTGAGTGGAACACAGTTAAATGTAACACCCCATGTTAACCTACAGATCTCATTGCTATCATTAGCAAGCTGGGGATGTGGGATCAGTGAGAGTGTGAGCAGGCAGTAGCTGATTGCTGACTGTCTTCACAGGGGTGAGGGAACTGGTGAGAGAGAGCGCGAGAGTGTTGGGCACAGATTAGCGGTACCCACTGAGAGACGCAGAAGCTCCAGACGTGCACTGTCGCTTCCTGGTGGCTGTGAACGAACGGCACAGAGAACCACACTATATGCACTCTCAGAGGTGAAGGGTGACGTGTCTTTTGTTCAGCTCAGTTCAGGTCAAACTTTATTAGTCCCTGAAGGGGAAAACAGTTTTTGCAGCAGAATCTAACACAACAATTTGACAGAAACAAACATCACCCACAAAGATCAGCATTACAGTGTTTCAGGAGATAAGTAACTTATTTTACATTGTTTGAGAATGAGATTGCAGAGGAGATTAAAGATTTCCTAAGCCTATAACTGGTACACCTACGGGCACAGAGGCGTCTCCCAGATGGGAGTAGTGAAAATTCGCAGAGGAGGGGGTGAGCCACACACTCCATATTGCTGTTATTAAATCCAATGCAGTTTAAATCAATTTTTCCTTCTTGTTCCCCATCCTGTTACAGTGGAAACTGATTTCATTTCCACTTGTATGGCTAACTCCAGCTAAACCACTAACGGGAAGAAACATACCAGGACTGAATTCTAATTAGAGCTTATGATTTTCAGTGTCTCTTACAGCTTTTCTCCTTTCCACTACATAATCAACTGACATCTATTTAAGATGATAATGACAGCCTTCCTTTTAATGTTTACATATTATCATTGAAGTGCTAAGAGTAAGACTTTGTCTAATCAAGGCTAACATTTTTTAGTAATCCAGGACAGCTGAGCTACCTAAGCACAGCGAACTGGTCTTAATTTACAAGCTTTTGCAGCATAATAGCTAAAATGACTTGTAAAGATTGGCTGAGCTTTACTTTTCCATTGAAAGACAGATAGTAGAAACGCCATAACAAATGAGAGAGCAGTACTCTCATT